GGAGCAGGATCACTTCTCCATCTGCATGTCTTTAACATGGCCAAAATGCGCAGCCACTTGTCAGCCAAGTTTTTGTGTGTTTTGAGCACCGCCTGCTTAATCGATTAGGCCGCTAATTTAAGCGGTCATTTGAGATCTGGGAACCGCAACTCATTGGTTTCATATTTGGCCTTAATGTGTGCCTATTGATTGAACCGCCAGTGTCCGGCTACTGATGACTCTTCTACCCAAGACAACTTGGATGCTGGATGTTGACGCAATCAGCTGACGGAACCCCAGTTCAAGTTCTATAAATGGCAACCAACAATTGCGTCATTGGAAACAATTAACCAACAAAAAGTTGTTGGCCGATAATGATGGAGGCGCAGAAGCAGAAGCAGAAGCAGACGACACCACTGACAGAGCGTTTGAGAGATGGAACGAATGGCCATTTGCGCCGCTCGTCGCATACAACTGACAGCCACTGTACAGTACACACAGGCCACTGTATACGAGAGATTGGGGAATCACACAAGGAAGGTCTTAAGAATATTTACAAATGATACCAAAGGGAGCATAGAAAGAAGTCAGTATTCTATATATTTTCTGCTTATTATTATTTTTTCCATTGAATTGCTGAAGGAACGATAAGAAATATAGAATCTTAAAGACAAAGTGACAATATTTATGTGAACAATTATTTCTCTTAGTGTTGAGAGATGGTTTCCCAAGAAGAGCGGTGCAACGCCTAGACCTCTAGAGGATCTTGAGCAGTACAACTAAATGTTGTGCAATTATCACATTTGTAGCCTCATGTCGACCCCCACTGGCTCCACCTCACCCAAAACCCTCCTCCTCCTCCTCGAGGCGGCTAAACAAGTTTCTTTATTGAGTTCCCGTCGCTTTTTTTGTTTTGATGGATTTACGCGGCAACATTGACACATTGACACTGCTTAGCATATTGGGGGGAGCCATTAGGAGCGGACAACTCCCACTTGGAAGGCAACTGGCGCTGACCTCAAGTCCCGCTCCAACGATACCAAACTCATTGCCCAGCTGCAGTTGAGGTTTTCTAATTTATTTTGTATGCATGGCCGTTAAGTGTAATTGGTCATTGAAAAGGATGATGAGGCCAGTTACCAGGAGGGTAGGGGGATGAGAGAACCGGGAAAATTACCAGTATTTCCTGTGGCTCCGCCAGAAGATTGATGATAATCGTGCGTCGTGTGTGTCAAGTTAGTGGCCCAGGCCGGGCATAATCTCGGCGATACCAGGCGGGTGTACGTCCAAGTGAATATGTATGCGGTGGGGCCCCAGAATGTGCTATCTCAGCTGAAGGCTTGTCATAAATGTGAAAGTCACAAATGGCACCTACTCCTAGTCCTCTAGTCCTGCTCCCCGCCAGAGTCCACCTGACAAATCGCCTGTTTAATTCCTCCTCGTGAATGGCGGGGAAACCTCCTCCGCCGCCTGCGTGTGTACCGTTGAGTGGCCAGAGACGCCTCCAGGCTTAACACTTCTCCGTGAAGAGTACCGAAAACAGTTTGCCGATCGCCCAGATCCACCGTACCGATCCGCCACCAGCAGCCAGAAACGTGACTGGAATCCCACACAGGGACTGAGACTGAGACTGGGACTGGGACTGGGATTGGAACTAGGACTAGGAGCCGGGGAACAGTGACACAGAGAGAGAGAGGAGGAGAAACAGCGGAGACACTGAGTCAGACAATTGCATAATCTAGCCGTGGCCATGGCCATGGCAATTGCGATTGCGATTGCAATTTCAGTTGCACTTGCAATCCCAGACACAACCCCAACATCCGCGGTGGGCACGGCCATGAAACAATTGTTGCAACATCGCCTGTAGCCCAAGGCTACACTAGGCGAAACCCAGCAAATATATATATATTGCTCAAATTAGTATCTATCTTGCAGAGTTTATGGATCTATCAATCACCATTTCTGGGTTACAATATTCCCCCTGGGATAATTCTACTAGACTAGATTTAAGACTTGAAGAAACATTAGTCTAATTCGATTAACTTTAGTGCTTTTGAAGAGATTCTAATAGAAAAATAATAATAACCAGCATGTTCAGGCAACTTTGGTTTCTATATCACTAATTTTCTCTCTGTGTAGACCAGCTGACTGAGGAGTATGGACAGAGTGAACTCTGCTCAAGTGGTGGAGTGGGAGGAGATGTCTTTCCCACCTTTCACGACTGCTCCTCTCCAGAGGAAAGTCTGGGAGGCAGTGGGGATCTGGCGGAGAGCTGGCGATGACTGTGGCCACAAAACGATGCCATTTGCATGGCAATGATTTGGTTATTTTGGCCTAAGCTGCGCCTCCTCGCCGTTGTCCTGGAGCTGGGAGTTGGAGATGGAGATGGAGTTGGAGTTGGAGTTGACTTGACTTGGCGTGGCTTGTAAACGATTTTGCACGCTGCAATTGCTGTTGCTGCTGCTGCTGATGCTGCAGCAGTTGTTGCTGCAGTTGTTGTCTTATTGATTTGTGCATTCATTTGATTGTGCGCGCGCATTTGTTGCCAAATTGTTTGAAGGAGAGCCGGGCCAGAAACATTGTCGTGGCTGCTGATTGCGATAGGAATGGCAGAGAGAAGAAGAACCTCCTGGCAGAGTGGTGGTGCTGCTTGCCAGGCTGTCTCAGTCCCGTCTACGAGTGTGTTTGCCCCTGTTGATGACTCCCCGAATCTACCGAGAAGACGGCAAGTTTCCATGGAACTTCGCTACGGGTCATTTTCGGCTGTAATGTTATTTCTTTTAAATTTATTGTTAATGGAAATTTATGCTCCGCTCCGCTCCGCTCCTCGGTGGCGGCAACAAGCTGCAAACATGATTGCGACCAGGCGGCAGGGCATGCTCATGTGGCACGTTTTGCTGATTTGTCATGTTCGCAGGTTAAATGCTAATGCCTCCTCCTCTACCATCCGGACTCCCACTCGACCACTCGATCCGATTCCAAGAACAGTTCCTCCGATCCATCCAGCATTAGATTCCTGCCGAATGTGGGTTAAGTCTCTTGTCTCTCGCTCGGCGTCTGTGCACTTTGTCTCGAAGCGGTTTAGGGTTCTCACGAGTTGGCTTGCCCCATAAAAATGGTGTCAAATAAATTGTAATCAACGGCCTGCAATAAAAATTCAATAAAAGAAGTTGCAGCAAAGCCAGGCAAGGGCCAAACCATTTGGAAATTCAATTATTTCAAGCCAACTGCGCCGTCTGCAGTCTCGCCCACCGGCCAACATTTGGCACAACAACTTTATTGGCCAAGACTTTGGCTCAGGGCCTAGAGCTCAGCTCTGTCCAGCTCTCTGATCCTAAGTCTACGTTCGTTGGTCATCCTTTCGTGGGCGTTCCTAGTTAGGAATGTTAGAGTATACTGTAAAAAAAGTAAATTTAAGTAAATTAAAGGCTTGTAAAAGTCTTAAAGTTGGGTTTAAGGACATTATCTTAGTTCGAAGAAATACAAAATGTGTATTGTACATTAACAATTTTCACCTCTAGTAAACCTGCTCCTCCTTAGACTCTGCCCCCCAATTATAGAAGAAATATGTTCACGTGTTCATTCACATTTCCTTTACAATCTTATACCATCCGCTTGAAGGCAATAAAAAGACCCATGTCCGTCCCTAATTTGGAGAGTCCATCAGGCGGCTATTTCAACACCTCATCTCCGGCATCCTTAATGCGGCCTTAATGCTCTTAACTTTTGTATTTGCTTTATTATCAAAGTTTCTTCCCGGTCTTGTGTGCTTTCTCAGCGGAAGTCTTGGAGCAGCTCGTGGGCTGAGCCGTTTCTTATTTTAATTCGTTCAGGGCGCCACTTGCATTACGCCCACCTTGAAGCTGCTGCTCTTTGAGCTCAGATTGCATAGCTTTTGCTGGGATTTTGTGAAAGAAGAACAACAACAGGCATTGCAATTGCATCGCCAACGCCATTGCAGTTTTTAATTACCACGGCAGCTAGTGCTTTTCCGCGTTTAATGCCCGATCTCATTGTTAAGCTTGGATTTCACTCTCGCGAATGGCTAATTAAGGCAAGTTATTGCATGTCCACAACTCGCATTACCTATCCAAGCACTTCCCCGAAGTACGCGGGACGCAAATTCCGCCCAGAAATTGCGAAATTTGCCATGGCCATTAGTACGAGATTAAGTAGTTAGAGTCAATTATTTAAATTAGTTTTGCCATCTGCAATGGCACCACCAGGAATGGTGGCCGGCCTGCTGCTCCAAATCCTGGACAAACTAATGGCCTCGTCGGCAAAGCATTTAAGCCGATAATTTTGTGGCATCCTACACATGTTCGACGGTAATAAGATTTTGATTGCCCGGCCCGAGCTAAAATTATGCCAAAGCCGAGAGACCCATGGACGACGACAGCTTCGCACAAGTAAAACTAAACCAAAGCGATGTCTGATGTGTGCCTTGGACTAATGCCAGGTTTTTGCTTTCCATCGGGCCCCAGAAAGTAGCCCTGCGGGTTTATTAAGCCGCCTCGATAAAAAAAGACAAAGCCAAGCGATGCACTTGGACAAATATAATATAGAGAATATTTCGGGAATATCTGTGGGGCTAACTGATAAACAACAAAACAAAGTGCCTTCATCATTCTCAAGAGCATTGTGTAATTATATTAAATTACAGGCTTGAGCACAATGTGATCGCCTGTTATCGTTAGTACGACTTTTCTCGGCTGATTAGTCATTTGTTCGAGTGTAATGATGGAAGCAAAACAAAAGACTTAGGCCACAAACTCGCTGCTCAACACATGGCAATTATGTTTGGCAATTGTTTAGTGTTTGCTGCTCCATCTCGTCAATGTCTGACGATGACGATGATGATGATGATGGGGGGCGTGGCCCGGCTAGCCAGTTCAGAATCCAGTCCAGCTGCGATCACTGAACGACATGCTAGCCCACTTTTTACTATACACGAAGAAGAATGTGGAAGCAGCAGCCCCATTTATCCAGTATCTTTCCCACTCTCCACTCTTCGCTTCCAGGCTCCCACAAAGTACACTGCTCCGAGGATCAGATGAGGGTGGACATCGGTCTGCCGGAGGCGGCAGACTCCAAGGACCAGAGTGCACCGCAGATATATCTGGAGGGACTGAAGGGATATCCGGATGTGCGTTGTCAGCCCCAGATCGATGGTTCTCTAGCCGTATTCCGGCTGTCGTTGAGTGACTTTTACGAGTGCGGCGTCACGAGAATGGTTAACCAGCTAACGGTAGGTGGCAGAGATCACACCCAGGTGGTGAACGAGTCCTGTACTTTCTCTTCCATTGCGCACTTACAGGGCAAGAAGGTGTACTACCACAAGATCATCATCGAGTCCGCCAACAGCAAGGAGATCGTCAGCGTCAAATGCATTACCAGCAGCAGTCCCGCCTATAACGTCATGATGAATGCGACCACCACCAGCTCCAGCTCCAGCGGCCGCGGCCTGGTCAAGCGGGATGTGCTGCCGGCGGGTTTCCAGGAACCCGAGTAAGTCTCCTCCCCCCCCGCCCCGTAGGCACACGCTCTCCGGATCTGGTGCTGTCTCCCCGCTTTTAATTGCCCATAAAGGCAAACTGCATCTATGCACATTTTTATGGGCAATCTATGCAAAAGTTTATGGCATATTAAATGCCGAGTCCAGCCCAGCTCTCAGCCAGGCCAAGATCAAACCGAGGGCCATAAATCAAACCTATCCCAGCTCATTGCCTCCCACTCCCCCGCTCTCTGGGGCACTTCCGCCGCTCTGTATATGTATCTTTCCCCGTCCCTGTCTCTGGGCTCTTCGAAGAGTTGCCATTACCAGGAGGTAATTAGCCGCCAAATCGACGCCGGCGGCTTCATATGCGTTAATACCTCCACAGTCAATTTAATTGCGGGGCGTGTCGCGATCCGTCTGGTCTCCGCCAGCTCCTCCCCTGCCGCCCCTGATCGAATATAATGTTTGTTTTTCAATGCCCGGCGTTGACTTACTACCTACGACCGGGTCCTTCCCCCACCGATCATTAAGAGCTGGAATTGCCTGGCTACGCGGTACTGAACCACTTGATTTGATATTCTTTCAGGGATCTGGAGATCACCACATCGCTGACCAAGCGAGCCCCAGAGCCGCGACTTTCCATCGGTGTTAGCCAGGACGGACAGAAGTTCACCAGGGATTTGACAGTCAAGTCGGTGAGTTTTTGCCTCAAGTAATTATATGATAACGGCTTAATAATTAGACAAGCTGAATATTATCTATTTAACATTTAAATTTGTAGTTTAATGAGTACTTAAAATGGAAAATGGGGGAAGACAAAACAAAGTTGTAATAACCATAGAAGCTGTAGAATTTCTTTCTCCATATTTGCATCTAGACTTCCATATTGTATTCAAATACATTTTTAATTATCATAGGGAACCCCCTTGACCATGGAAATCAACCTGGATGAGGACTCCGCCCCAGTATATGGCCTGGGTGTGAACTATCTGGATGTAACGGATACCCATACATCCTCGGAAACGCTTATCTTCAAGGGGTAAGAATATCTTTAATTTAACATAAACTTTAGTCACCTTTAGTTAAATTTTGTAACTTCTTCACAGCTGCACTGTGGATCCGTATCTGTTTGAGAACTTCAACACCATCGACGGTGATATTTTAAGTGCCAAGTTTAAGGCCTTCAAGTTCCCCGACTCGTCTTACGTTCAATTCCGTGCCACGGTCAACGTGTGCTTGGACAAGTGCCTCGGCACCCAGTGCTCCAACAACCAGGTGGGCTTCGGCCGGCGCAAGCGGGAGATCAGTGCCGCAAACAAGGTCTACGAAATATCACTGGCCATGTTCCTGCAGGTGGAGGACATTGAAGGAGTCAACAAAAGTAGGTTTTGTGTACCTTATCATACCATTAGGGAATCTTAAGAAAAGGTATTCGAAAACATGGGTGGTCTTTAGCACTTGGCGTCAGATTCAATACCATATAATCATAAAAAACAACTATAAAATAGGTGTTATATGGCTTTATTATCTTCTTTTTAAGTAAAATCACACCAAAGAATGCAGGTTATAAAAATTCTATGAGAATAATTTTATACCAGAAAGGAAACTAACTTCGAAGTTTTATACTCTTCCAGTTACAGTTGTACATAGTATCATGGTTTCGAATATGAAATCAATCATAACTAAGCCAAAGATGCATTGCTATCACAACCACTTTCACTTGAGATGTTGACAGTCGGGATGCTGGAACAGAATGAGGCCAGAGCTGCGGCTGTGGCTGTATTTATACTCTACGAGTAAAGAGAGCAGAGAAAGGGAGAGCGAGAGAGTAAGAGGTACTTCTACAGATAGTCAGAGAGAAGTAGAGAGAAAGAGGTATCTCAAGAGATACACAGAGAGAGATAGACACACCGAGAGGGAAAAAGAGGGAGTTTAGCATGGTGATAAAAATACTAATGATAGATAGTAGCAAATGATATTTGAATATTTACTGCTTTCTGCAAAGCTTCTTTCAAGTAATGTTGGAACTGTTTCTAAGCATATATAATAAAATCAATTAATTAATTCATTTCCTTCCCCTCTTTGCCCCCTCTCTAAGATGAGGTCCTGCAGCTGGAGGAGAAACTGCGAGAATTGAAGCTGGCTAACCAGCGTCTGGCCAGGAATAGTCGCGGCAACTTCGCGGAGGAGCAGACGCCTGCCAGTGCTCAGCCCGCCTTTGTGGTGGACGAACGAGAGCTGGGACACCTCAGCTCGGCATCGGGATCGGCATGGAAGGGGCTCCCGTTGGCCCTCTGGACGCTGCTCGGTGCTGTCCTTAGTTGGCGGCTGATGCAGAAGTTGTAAATCTCTCAAGGTGTGAACGGCGTGCGAGTGCGAGGAATGCTAATCAGGTCGGAATTGCGTGCAGTGGCAATGAAGGAAGGAGGGAATATTAATGTACTACCTAACTACTAATATATACCTATACTTGATGTAACTGCCATTTACAAAACGTAATTAACTTTAAACGTATGCGTAGCTTAAGTTTTCTACGACTTATGGCAGGCGACGTTGCGGCATTGCGACACAAAACAGACAACAGACAACAGTGATTCTTATAAAAATACACAAACTCTTACATATATATATATATATAAATATCTGGAGAACTTGATGAACTCGGTCTAACTCATAAGCACCTACTAGTCTCCTAAGTGTAACTGTTAAGCTAATTTAATTAACGACTAAACTAAACGAATTAATTGATTAAACAGAACTCTGAAAGGACTTTGTATGACCTGTTGTTTTATTTCTATATTGTATGGAGAAAATCATTGATTGCGGAATACAACACTTCTGGGATCAGAATATAAAGAAACAGAAACAGATTTATATTTCCGATAAGTAACTTTTGAATTCTGTAAACTTTTTAGTTCCGGTTCAAAAGTGTCAGAGCGGAGAGAAAAACCGATTACTAGCTGTAGTCGATAGCACAATCGATATTCCTTCCACCGCTACGTGGTATTTCTTGACAGTGGCGGTGCGGTCACACTGCGATTTATATGGTTTATTTTTTAAAATATGCAAACAAATTACGAACAAACACGTAACCAATAGCAGTTAATCGAGCCGACCACTGACAGCCAGGCGAACAAACAAGCGGCGACGCACACCCCCAAACCCAGGAGCAGCGGACGGGCGCAGAAATCAAACAGTCTTCCAGCGGAGCAGGCAACGCTTATCCGCAATTCGATTTGGCACAATATCGGCGAACCCGCAGCCCATATTCTGCCAGGCTGGCGCTCGAGCTGAGCTGAGCGCTGGTGTGTGACGTGCGACTTTCCACCCACGGCTGTGACAATATTGCGTGGATGCCGACAACTCCAGCTGGGCCCGTGCCCGATGGTGGACACGCTCTTTGGACACGGGCGCTTGACTCCGGTGCTCTGCGTTCGCGACATTAGAGAGAGCAGCGCGAGAGGGCTTCCAATCCCACCGATCAGCCGGCTTAATGCCAGTGCCACAGTAGCAGCAGTAGCCGCAGTAGTAGAGACGCATTGCTGCCGTCGCCACCCCACCAATACCCCGACCCCAGCCCCAGCCCCAGCCACGACCCCAAGCCCAGTTCCAAGCCCTCGAAGATGCGCTCACGCAAGGTGCTGCTGGTGATCGGCTTTTTGGTTACGTGGACCTATGCCACATACTACCTGCTGCTGCGCAACACGAGCGTTCACAATAGCCGCAACCAGGCACACCAGGCATACCGCGTTAATTCTCAGGCCCGCGAGGTGAACCAGAAGAGCCACCACCTGGCCAAGAGCGTCTTCGAGTTCGTCAAGCTCAAGTACTTGGAGTCTCAGGCACCGCTCCCGCCGCCAACGACGCCGCAGATAAGCATTGTGGCCGCCGAGATATCCGGCGAACTGCCCGAGCAGCTGGCGGCCAAGCCAACGTCGGCGCGCATTCCAACGAAAACATATCTGGCCAACGGTGAGCCCGTCTTCCCTGTCCTGGTCTTCGCCTGCAATCGGGTGTCGGTGAAGAAGTGCATTGACAATCTGGTCCAATACCGGCCCAGCATCGAACAGTTTCCCATTATTGTGTCACAGGTAAGGACATCTGAATTATCCTCCTCAAATGTATCTCAACTTTGATTCGGTTAGGATTGTGGGGATGAGCCAACCAAGGAGGTGATCCTATCGTACGGCAACGAGGTAACCCTCATCGAGCAGCCCGACCTAAGTGACATTAAGGTGCTGCCCAAGGAGAAGAAGTTCAAGGGCTACTACAAGATAGCACGTCACTATGGCTGGGCACTGAATACCACCTTCGGCGTGGGCTTCGAGTTCGTCATCATCGTGGAGGATGATCTGAATGTGGCACCGGACTTCTTTGAATACTTCCTGGGCACTCACAAGCTGCTCAAGCAGGACCCCAGCCTGTGGTGTGTGTCCGCCTGGAATGACAATGGAAAGGCTGCCGTTGTGGATGCCTCAAAGCCGGAGCTGCTCTATCGTACCGACTTCTTCCCCGGTCTCGGCTGGATGCTCACCAAAGACCTGTGGGCCGAGCTATCGGTCAAATGGCCTAAATCGTGAGTAAACACATACATACAAATCGTTTGTCAACTGTTCGCTAATTGATATATAAACATTGTAGCTTCTGGGATGATTGGATACGTCACCCGGCCCAGCGGAAAGATCGCGTGTGCATTAGGCCTGAAATATCGCGAACTAGAACATTTGGAAAAATAGGCGTATCTAAGTAAGCGATAGCGAACACCATACATATGTGTACATATGATTCCTAATGGGGCATGTTTTGTTTTTCTTTTATCAGCGGCTTGTTCTTTGATAAGTATCTAAAGCACATTAAACTCAGCGAGGACTTTGTGCAGTTTACAAAAATTGATACGAGCTATCTGCTAAAGGTTAGTAAATCGAGGGAGCGGTCATTGCATGTCCACAATAATTACTATTTCTCTTTGCGCTTTACAGGACAATTACGATAATACGTTTCTGCGGCGTGTCTACACGTATCCCATTGTCACGTACGACGAGTTGCGACGTAACCTGATAAGGTGAGTATATTAGCTGATTTAGATTTTACATTCCACGACAATACAAGGTTCTTACAAGGTCACGTTCATTGCTTGTGAATTTATTTCATTGCTTATTTTTGTTTTATTTTGTATAGAATTGAAGGACCTGTGCGCATCCAGTATACCACACGAGAGCAGTACAAACGGACAACCAAGATGCTGGGGCTAATGGACGACTTCAAGGTGAGTTTAATGGGTGTTATCTGTTGGCAGAACAAAGCTTTACCTCCCAATCCTTTCAGAGCGGCGTTCCCCGGACTGCCTACCACGGCATCGTTTCCTTCTACTACAACAAACGACGCGTGCACCTGGCGCCTAATGTCAACTGGAAGGGCTACGAACTATCGTGGAGCTAACGACGCTAAAAAAAGAGACATACATCCGCCAACTCCAACTGCAACTCCACCTTCAACTCCAAACCGTAACCAACACACACAGCTAGCCCAGTGTGCTCGCTATACCAAATAATAGTCCTATGAATTATTTTATTTTTGTTTGACCAATTAGCTAAGTTGTAACTATGGAATCTCCTTTAACGGCCAGCTGTGGCCGTAACAAAATCAAATCAAAAGAGTCTCCACTATGTATAGTATAGTTAACTGCAACGCAATGAATTGTACATAAGTCAGTGTCGTTCGCTTCTGTTAGAACTCTCCTCTCAGCCTAACGTGTTGAATTGCAAATAGTTGTAGCAAAGTTTAAGTTATAGTATTCCGCGTGTAGCTCATAGCATTTAAGTTGGATCAACTCTCGAGTTCTAGGCTGCATAACGGGCATGTAATATTTGTGATTTGTGATTATTTAATTTACATTTATCAATTGTTGAGAGAGTAACCCATACCCGACCCACAATGTAACATAGAATAGCAATAACTAGGCGCTAGAACTATAACTAGAACCAGACCAGTGCTGAGCAGCAGCATGTCGTCGCGTCGGCCAGGTCTGAAAATGTGTGCCACTCTCAGATAGTTGTAATGGAATCTACACAGACGAGACACATTACCCCCTATGACTACCCTTTGTATGAGCATATTTTTGTGTGTGAGAACATAAACTCTAAAGATAACAAGACGCCTCTAGTTTTTCAGTTTCACTCTACTGCGGGCGCCTCTTCATCCTCGTCTAGCTGCTCGCAATCGATGTCGCTGCACTCTGACTCGGATTGCGTCGGTCTCCGGCTGCGTTGGGCCTGGTTTAATCCATCGTGGCCGTAGGATGTGGCTCCACCACTGGCGGGAGTGCTCCGATTTTGCAGGAAGTTGGCATTGGCATCCCCGAAGACCCGTTCCAGTTCGGCCAAGCCATTGGAGGATCCTGTTTCCGCTTCCGGCGGTAGAGTGGCATACTTCAGTTGCAGATAGGCCTCGTTCTGTGCATGTGGCGGCGCATAATCCACATAGCTTCCCGCATAAGACTTGCAGCGTGGCATATAGCTAGCGGAGGTGGGAACACCTCCTGCCGCCGGTGGCTTGGCCACTCCAAAGGGCAGGGCAAAATTGAGCGGTTGTCCTCGTGCCAGGATAGCGTTACGAGCACTCTCCATGACACTGGGCCCCGGAAGTGGAGGCATTCCGCCAGCCGTGGCATAAGGTCTCATGGGAGAAGGAGTGGCCGAAGCAGCAGCCAGAGGTGCCGCCGATCCGCTGCCATTTAGCATAATGGACTGAATGGGTGTGGGACCCGTGGGCGTTTGGCTAAAAAGCCACAGCCTGTCGCCAACCACCATTGGACGAGCCAATCCCCCAATGCCCAGCTGGGCGTAGTAATGCGAGGCCAGCGTTTCCACATCCGAGGTGTATTTGCGTTTCCACTTGGTGCGGCGGTTTTGGAACCAGATTTTAATCTAATTAAAAATAAGATATACACTTTTTAAATTTAAATATTAATTTTAATATATTTCCATTCTCACTTGCGTCTCTGTGAGCTGCAGCTGCTTGGCCAGCGCCGTCCTCTTGGCCACAGATAGGTATTTACCCCGCTCGAATTCGGTTTCCAGAGCTTTGATCTGGGCGGCAGAAAAGGCAGTTCTTGGACGCTTCTTGCGATCATCGCCAAGGGCTGCAAACGGAATTAAAATTGGGATAACAAAAAAAGTTCAAAATAAGATCGCCAGAATTTAAATTAGACATTTATTGCTACCGACAGCGGCCATTCTCGGAAGCGGTGCCAACTATTTTCGCCTAATTGTAATTTGTCGATCCGGTTGGGCAAGGTTACCCCCATTCCGCATCCCCCGAATTCGCCAAAGAGGCTTTTACGTCTCAATCAGAAAGTTGTATTTCACTTAGCCAAGGCGTCTAATTGGCCATTTGGTCATACATACAATACATTCTCCTGGCTGACCGAGAACAAATTGTCATATAAATTCCTCCTTTACGGGTGGAAGGCGCACTTTCTGTGATCGCCATCGTTCTTTGTTCGCTTTTGACATTTGCATCATTAACGGATGTCGGTGGGGGATGCTGCGAGGGTGCGAAAAATTACGGTGGCACGCCTTCTTCTTTGTCACTCGCAAAGCTAATTTTTGACCATTTGTTTCTTGATCGCACAGATGACAGATGAGATCACTCAGCCATGAGCATTTTTCGTTCAGGTGGGAGCATATTTTCTTAGATACTTGAGCTTATTATGGAAACAAAAAATAAACATAACTTTCCCAAGAAAAAATACTACTTCACTTCAAAAACCCCTGAAGGATATTAAATTTTAGTCAGAAGCTTGAAACGCAGTGACCCTATAAATTCTTGATCAGAATTAACTGCTGAATCGATCTAGCCATGTCCTGTCGTAAAATAAATTTTGAAAATTCCATTTTCCATTTCGATTTTTTCGTTAAAATTGCCAAAAATTTTGATTTTCTGAAATTTTAAATTAAGTATGCATATTTGTTAACCTTCTAAGAACTAACATCGGACAGCTTTCCGATTTAAAATTAATGCCTTTTTGGCTAAGTAATGAACTTTTAAAACTTTGATTTGTTAAACAAATTGTCATATTAAAATTTAAATAATATCGACTCAAAAATGGTATTATACCTATGGTCAGAAGCTTAAAACGCTGTGAAGGACTCATTTCCGACCCTATAAACATATATATTTTTGATCAGCATCAACAAGCGAATCTTTCTAGTCATGTCCGCAAGAAAACAATTTTTTGCGATTTTTTTTCCAAATTTTATAAGGGGTTACATCGTTAAAATTGCTACAAATTAAAAAAATATTAGCATTTCTTAAATTTTAACGTCCATTAGCTGGTTTGTAAACCTGATAAAAACTAGCACTTAAATGCTTTCCGAATTAAATTTAATACATTTTAATAATGAATTTAAATTAAATAGCATTTCTAATAAATCTTGAAACACAAGATTCAAGTGAATCAACCTCCCATATGAAAACGTTTCTTTTTAATACATTTTCAAATGATCTTGATTATAATAATTATATCAATTAAAATATATATATATATATTTGTACATATACATATAGCAGATTAAGTCATATAATATTTCTTAGTTCTTGTTTAGTAGAAGAACTTGAACTAATTAAAAAACTTGAATTAAAAGAAAAGCTGGCGTTTGATATGCAATATCATATCAATCATACGCACCGTTGCCGTCGTCAGAAGCTAGATCGTTATCACTTTTGCCATCATCCAGAGTGTCATCCAAGCAACTCGATGTTGCAGGACTCGAAACGCGCGAAACATCACACGCACTGCCACGCCCACTCTCATCCTGCACCGGATCCGGAAATGTACTAGAAGTGCGCATTTCCGGTTTGGCCAGAATTTGTTCAATGGAGAAACTGTGTGGATACCGTCGCACCGCCGATTGCGAATTCATATTTGCGGTGATTTTATTTATGTCCTGCGATTACGATATATTTTATAGATCCGTTGCTGTATCGAAAGACTGCACCGAGCAGAGAACAACACGCGTCGAGATCTTACGGAAAACTAATTTGAATATTCAGAGCATCCTGCTCACTGGCCGATTTCGTTCAAGATGATCGCCGGGCGGGGCGTGGCCTGAGCCCATCTAGCTGCCTCCCGCTCACTCCCGCCAGTCCTGCTGTGGGACAGAAAGAAGCAGGAACAGATTCCGATTCCCTCGGAAGACGAACAGATGTGGGATTTATTTTTAAAACATGTGTGAAATTGTGGTGACGGAGGCGTGGCCTGCACTCACATCGCCGTCTATTATATTGGATGTTCGGTCTCGTTTCTTGTCGCCTCGCCGTGATTAAAAGTCATAATTTTTGGCTAATTGTCTACAAGTAGCGCTATTTAATATTTCGATGGCTGGCTAAATATATTTAATACGTTTGCCAACATAATTCATTCGGCTGATTAACGAGCTGCCGGCCAATACGAGGCGACTCTGGATTTGGTTTCATTGCATCGGTGTGCGGGCACGTGTCCAGTTTTGGGAGGGTTTATCTTTCGATAATTATTATTTTTAAGGAAGGAGTTTTGAGCTTTCCATTTTTTTAGTTGGCAAAAAGAAATTATGTTACATTTTACAATATATTATTTATGTCACCGCAAGAAAATTAATCCACTTCTTTTTAAATTGGTTCTCTATTATTATATTGATGCAGATTATTTAACGATGAAATATTAACGATCAATATCGAATAAAAACTAAAAATATACCTTAAGGTAGAATATTTTTACACGTATATGAGAGAAATTTAATTAAGCTTCATAAACGTAATGTTATATATAATAATATATAATTTCTAAGATAATGTAAATAATATTCAAATGACTTAGCAAATATTAGGTTATCCTTAAGAAATACAAGTTATAATTAAAAGTAATGGGAGTTCTTTTATTTTTGGAGTACAAATTAAATTGTGGAGATGGACCTGAACCTTAATTTTCTTGTATTTTGTTGTTGCTTGTATTGATATTTCAAGAAAATTCTACTCTTCCTTCCTAAAATTAATAAAACTAACATTAGAGTAAGCAAAGCCCTGTCTGCTCCTTTGGAAACATTCATTAATTCGAAATTATGAACACATAATTCAGTTCAATGCGATCCCCTCGAATAAATATACCAGGAAAATGGGAAGGCAAGATCCAAGTGAAGGGGTAGGTCTTGAGAAATTAGCCTGCGGCATGGGCGACACTAGTTTCCATTCCAATTGGCCAGCAGCCAACTCCACGTCATTTACTGAGCTACAGGGTGCCGTGCCCGGCGGTGCCTGGATGCCGTGTGTGATAACGTCTTAATTATTCAGGCGCGATTCGAACAAAATATGTGAAAACACGTTAATTAGTCGCCAAGATCCGAGAGCGAAAGGGCGGCGAGGACGAATCGCATGGCATCCATTTAGCCGGCGGAGCTGTCAGTTTGATTTAACTTAATGAGAATAGTGGCGGGACGAGGGGATCTGCTTATGGGACCGCATGCCCGAGTGTCTCGGGCACTCAAATCAAAATGACAACTTAATTTTCATAATTGCGCTTAATGAATATTCGACTATTGCTTGCCATATTTCAAATTCCGCTGCCAGACGAAGTGCAGACTTTGTTTCAGCTTCTTGGCATTACGAATTATTTCCCGGTCCCCTGGGGTTGAGTTATGAGATTTAAGATACTAATCATCATTCGAATCCAACCTATTTTAAAGGTACTGAACCTCTTTCTTTTTTTTATCCCAAAAATACTTGAGAAAAAGTGGAATTCAACCACATTCCCTGTCATGTCTTGGAATCTTAAGTCGATTCTCCCATCCAATTGACCCTTTGGCCGGTTATTGCATAAGATATCCAACCCTTGACCTAACCAGATCCTCTCGTTTGATGATCGCATTTAACGCTAAATGGAGCGCAGCCGTGTCAGAATTTAATTAATAACGAAGCATGCATCTCCATTATAAATCATCACTTCTCAAGTGTTTGTCAGGCGCACGCAGCATAAATCACAGCCGAAAGAGATCCGAGTGAGTCCCGGGCGGAGCTGCACTGGCAGTCGCGTGGAACAGTCCGTCCTCCGGCTGGAGTGTATCTGCTTTTTGTATTTAGTTTTCCTTTTTGTTTTTTGTGTCCCCTCTTTTTGTCATCGCATCCAGCTAATGATGCATCAAGTCCTGCGGGGTGTCAGCTACATCTAACTTGGGTATCCCTGGCACATCGATCATTGGTCGAACATCTGTATCATTGCTGGTGCCTGTGCCTGGGGCACTCCCACGCCATTGTTGAGGTTTCCGATTACGTCAAAGGTGGAGGAGTTGGACGTCATACCTCCGATTCCAAGGGATTCCTTGGCGGGGCGTACATTGAACTCTTTGGGAAATCGTATCCTGATTAATTCTCTGGGCTGTCTGTTTGCTTGTCCCGAGGCTAATTTGTGTGAAAAACTAATAGAGCAACAAGCAAGGATATGGAAATTGTATTCCTGGATTTACAGAGACTGGGTAAAGTGTTTTTCTTAGAGTAATAACTCTACAGGTTGTATTTTAACACTTCAATTTATATATCTTTTGATAGCCCTCCCACTTGATTCTCTTTGAAGATATAAAGATATTTTCAAGACTTTAAAACAAACTTAATTTTTGTACCTTTCAACTGCTCCTTAATTAAATTCGTATGTTTATGGTTACCATATACCTTCCGCAACTAAAATTAAACTAAAAAATGGTTAACACATTGGATTGTCCTTCCGTCATTCCGGCTTCCTTGAGTAATATCCATGAATCACGACTGCTTCCTTCCCTCCTGCCAAAGTCTGCTGTTAATTTCATTCATGAAAAACTTCTTTGGGAGAGAAGGCAATCATCCGAAATCAGACCAGCCTACGCCTTATAAACTGACAGATATAAATAATAATTAAGAAAAAATGAGAGAGAATGAACTGCATATTATTAATTTAATGTGCGCTCGTTTCGAATTCGGAGTTCCCACTTCTCGGATCACTTTTCCGAGAAACATGTTTGGGGAGGAGCACGAGGAGTAAAAGGCGTCATTCCCGTCCCGTTCCGTGTTTATGTTTCAGGCGAGCAGACAAGACTCATAAATTACAACCAATTATCAAATTAGATTTTACAAAACATGCAGTTTAAATCATATAGAAGTGCTTGGAATACACTTTTTTACGACATAATCAGGCGCAGGGGATGTTTCCATGACTTTTTTATACTCTTTATTCTTTCGGATCAAATGTAGAATCAATTCGGATTCATGGCCTGTTGATGGCGGCATTTAAAATATATATGTATATACAAAAAAGCTGTGCAATTGGAAAAATTAGCAGACAATGCGAGCCTGACAGCTACGGGCAATTAATTTGGTGTAATTACTCAGGGCTGCGTCAGGCGGAGTGACAGATCTGGAGACGGAGATGGAGTCGTGGCTGTACGTGTCTCGGGTGCGGAGGATGCTGTGTTGCCACCTCAACGCATCGATGGCACTGATTCTCCTCCTCGATCTCTTCAACAATTGCGGCGGCATTTTAATGAGCCAAATGCGATGGCATCTCCCCTCGAGTGGCGGCAAATTGCCTTCCACCCATGGTAAAGGGGTAAAGTGGAGCAGATCCTCTAGTGGCTCCTACTAATTGACATCGGCAGAGTCGTCGCCTTCGTCGTAGTCTGCGATATCAAACAGTTTCACGCACAAATTGAAACTGATAATTGTGCCGGGGCAGATTTATGGGGTAAGTGATGAGCATATGTTGTAATTAATTTCCAAGAAATTATTCTCACAGCAGACCCTTTTGCGGATCTCTGATTAAAAGCCTTTCTGTCCTGCAGATCAATTTCCTAAGCCAAAATATAAATCCAATATTTAAGGTGTGTGTTTTCCTTTTTGGATAATTATGACAAATGTCTAACCCGAACATGAGCTCTCCCTAATACCACTAAGCCACAAAACTGGAAGGGGATTTCCCCGCGGCCACATCTGCATGACATTTTGTCTTGTTCTCTTGTTTGGGGCTCGCGACATTTTCTGGAGACGCCATCCGAGGGAGATTAATGCGGTGAGGAAAATCATAAATTAATTAGACGCGGCCCAGTGCCAGTCTTAGTTCCATCTCTCGAATCTGCTGCAGATGCTTATTGGTGACATTTAGCGGCGATTTATTGTCGTTTAGAGGGGAGAGAGAGGGGCCGTAACCAACTACAGGTGTTGTCACAGAATCGCTTAATTAGCATTTATTATTAGCTATGATGTGGCAACTAAGTGGCCAAGTGTCGCAGCCGCTGGCGGCTGCCACAGCCACAGCCAATCGAATTGGATCGCTCAACTCCACCTCCAGCAATGGCTTTTCCTCACTTCCTGTTTTCAAAGTTGGCGCCTAATGCCGTCGTTTAGGGACAATTAGCGACACGCCTTTTGGCGCCAACCAGCCTGGAATGCCAGGAATGAATCCACTTTTTTTTGGGGCAAGTCTGTGTGGGTGCCTCTCACGAAGGATAGATGTATGTAGATCAGGATCAGTGCCAGGGGGCAGGTTCAGGGAATTCCACTCTGTCGACAGTGTGGCGAGACTAGAGCATCCTGCCGACGGGACTGAGGGTTTGGAAATTAGCCCATCGATCATTTTAGAAGTCATTGGGAAAATGTTGCTCTCTTCATGAGTTCTATATAATACTTATTTTACTTTATTGATATATTTTTAATAGCTTTTGGATATAAGCTTGAAAAATATATATATATACATTTACTAGCAAAAAACAAGAAAGGTATCTAGCTTCGGGAAGTGGAAGTTTTTATACCAGTTTAAATTTGGCCTAGTAGGTCGAATTTTGAAATGTCATAACTAGGCGAATAATGCATTAATTTTAATTCGGAGGGCTGTTCTATGTTAGTTATTATAAGGGTAATAAATCTGCATACTTAATTTGAAATTTTAGAAAATCAAAAATTTTGTGAATTTTTAACAATTTTAACGATGTTACCCTTATAAAATTTTGAAATTTCGAAAAAAATTTTAAAATGTATTTTTCGATCGGAGATGGCTAGATCGACTCGGCTGTTAACGCTGATCAAGAATATATATGATTTATAGGGCCGGAAATGAGTTCTTCACAACTTAACAAGCTTCTGACAAAAAGTATAATACCATTTTTCAAGTAGAAATTATTTATGATTTTATGACAATTTGTTCAGCAAGTCAATTATTAAAAAACCTCATAACTTAGCCAAAAAGGCAGTAATTTTAATTTGGAAAGCTTCCGATATCAGTATTAAGAAGGTTAATAAATTTGCATACTTAAATATAAATATCAGAAAATCAAAAATTTTAAATTATTTAAATAATTTTAAAATAAAATTGTACAAGATTTTTTTAAGCGGCATCTAGCTGTAGCCACTAGCACCATCTGCACTGTCGGCAAGGCAGTTTGCAAGCAGATTACAATTGACAAAGCAGTGCAAAGGAACTCACCTCTTATCAACATTTTGCACCAACTTATACCAAAATGTTCTAGCTTTTCCATTTTCAAATAGCCTGAAAAACGCTAAACTGGCAACACTGCATCACAAGCAGCTGTTTTTCCTTGACTTTGTTTACTTTTTTCCAAGTTTATTAAAGTTTATTAAACGTTTGCGTAGAATTTAACCATAAATAAAATGGCCTCAGCTTCCAGTTCAAGTGCCCGACATTTGTTTGATGAGTCGAAGAAGCGTTTGTGCGCCCGTGTGGGTGTAAATGTGAATAATTTGGGTGATTATTACTTTTTCCTACCAGTTGTGTTTGTATCTATTATTTAAACTAATTATTTTCAGGCTCTGTGGCCAGACAGGTTGTTAGGGGTTCCAAGACCAACGAGGTAAGCTATTTTTACAACTTCCAAACACGGAACTTTGCTTATCCTAACTTATTTCACAGATTATGCATCAAACCCTGAAGAACTTTACTCAGGTGGACGTGGTCTCCGATTACAGTCACCAGAATCTGCAGAAGATGACGCTGATCCTCCAGCATGTAGGTTACCAGTACGATGTGATGCAGGACAGTGTCAACCACTTGGATTACCTCAAGGAGCAGGTCACGGCCATGGAGAGATGATTGGAAGAGCAAAAGCCGAGACACTAGCAGCACCCTCGCCCTCGTCCCCCAGTTTAGTTTCCCCAGCGCCCGCCCCATCCATATATATCCATAAATCCCAGATGATAGCCCCGACAAGGTCAAGATCACCACAAGAGTTGTAAGTGAAGATAAGATAACCCGTGATGTGGGGTTCTGCATAAAAGAGCCAGCCAGCAGGGGATTCCACCGCAGTTAGTTTCGGCATTCAAAATGTTCAGCTTGGAATTGAGACTGGTAATCACTCTGTGGCTGGTCTGGGTGACGGCATCCCAGAACATCACAGAAGACGAGAAGGATGGTCGCATTGTCGGAGGCTGGGAGACGCACATTACCTTCTTTCCACACCAAGTATCCATTCAGTTGGGCACTCGCCACGCCTGCGGCGGAACCATTCTATCACCTACCATCATCCTGACTGCTGCCCACTGTGTTCTGGAGTACTCCAAGCCGCAGTACTACGTGGTTCGTGCAGGATCTAGTTTGTGGGCCCAAGGCGGTAGCTATATTCGAGTTCGTCGCATTATTCCGCATCCCAAGTTCAATGATCCCACGCGAATGAACAACGACATAGCCTTGGTCCAGTTGCAGCAGCCTCTGGTCTACAGTCGCGAAATTCAACCCTTATCCCTGGCCACCAAGGAAGACAGGATACAGCCGACAGCTCAACTCTTTGTTAGCGGTTGGGGCAGCCTATCGATTGCGCAGATGCAGCCGGAGAAGCGACTGCGCTACACGGTGGTCCAGCAGAGGGATCAGGAGCAGTGCGCCAGAAACTATTTCGGAGCTGGCACAGTGACCAGCACCATGTTCTGTGCGGGCACCCAGACTGGAGGCAGGGACAGCTGCCAAGGGGATTCCGGTGGTCCACTGGTTACCTCCATCGAGGGACGCATGAAGCTCTACGGCATCGTATCCTGGGGCTTTGGTTGCGCCAATGCTTTCTATCCGGGAGTTTACACGAAAGTCTCCGAGTACGGTGACTGGGTGGCTGAGACATTAAAAGAGCTGGATTAGCTTAGTTTCCCCAACTAATTAATAGACGGAATAGACCGGACTCCACGCTATATGCTTAAGTTATTGTCTAATAAGTTCCTATAACATAGTAATCCTAGGACTTAAGCTTTCTCTCCGCTGTAAATGAACGTCTTTAGTGCTAATAACTTGCAAATTCTCAAGTTCAAGTGACTAATCCCTAACATAAAATGTTACTTATCGAAAAACAATTTGTTAATTCAATTTTAATGCCAAATTACCTTGTTTATGAATGCAAAATGTAAAAAACAAGTTTTGGGATCGTGGTTGGTAGAGCCGAAGGTAGTCGCATATAAAATGCGCATCTCGGCGGACCAAAGACCAGTTTTTGGCTCTCACGAACTGCGAATAGCGAGCGATTGGCCAAGTCTCCGCCAGTTACCAATCGCACCTCGACTAGAGAGGGGCCATATCAACCAGCAATGAAGCAGTTTATAGTTTTTGTAAGTAAACTATTGCCTCAGCAGCGACATTACTCAACTCTGACTCTTCCTGTTTGTGTTTCAAGGTCGTTTGCTTACTCGGCGCCACGAGGGCGGATGTGTCCCATCTGGTTACCCCGGAGCCCAAGGTCCCCGCTAGCCCGTATGTGTTCAGCTACCAGGCTGGTCGAGCTCCCGGCCATGTGGATCGTCAGCACACTGAGGTCTCCGATGGCTCTGGGGTCATCCGTGGGGCCTTCTCCTATGTGGATCCCAAGAACCAAGTGCGCACCGTTCAGTATGTGGCCGATGAGCATGGTTTCCATCCGCAGCTAAGCCACAAGCTGGAGGACAGCGCCGCCGTTAAAGCAGCCAAGCGGAGGCACTTCGAGGCTTACAACCGCATTGCGCAAGAGCATGCGAGTCAGACGCCCGGCCAAGCGGTGAGTATATTCACCTGACAGCAGGTGTGGCCGCAATAGTTTGTAATGATGCATTTGTTTTCTATGCACCCCCACAGTCTCTGGCAGCCGCTCCACATGCCAGCGCCGCTGTTGCACATGCCACCCAGAAGCATCTGAGCGCTTTCGAGCGGATCGCAGCGGAGCATGCGGCCATAGGCCGCCAGCAGGAAGCACAGCGTCTGGCACTGGCCGCTCAGTCCGAGCATGGAGAGGTGGACAATGGGCAGTATCACCCGGAATAGGTCTGGCTATGAATACATTGGATTTCACTTGATTGAATGTTAATTAAACGGAATAAAACGGAAAAAATATCTATCTACTTTCAATCTATATAAACTATACAGTAACAATTTTATTTAAATTTGGCTTCAAAGAGGTTCAACGTTGCTCTGTCGAGGCTGCAAAAAACAAAACAAGAACCGGGTATTTCTATTCTATTATATCGTTCAGACTTTGTTAATGAGAAGCCTGAATTAAAATACAATTCTAAATTAAACTAATTGTATGCTTTATATTTAAAATCAAACTACTATTCATTTAAAAATATAATTGGGAAGGCACTTATTAAATTGTGTTTATTATTTAATTATTTGACACGACATTTTGGTTTAAGTAGAATAGAGCAGTAGAGTCTGTATTGTAGACCCTCTCGTTAGTTAGTTATCAGGAATAATGTCTGTAGAACGTGTCCCAAATATTTTCTGGATACTTTTCCTTTTTGTAGTTATAAAAGTAAGTTAATCTCTCGATTTGACTGCTACAAATATAATAAACACCTTCTTTAATAGCCTGCATTTGGAGGTTTTTATCCCTGTGGAGATAAAAATGGAATAAACCCTGAAGAAGCCAATGCCGTGATGGAGGATTGGCCCAGAAATCTGCAAGTGGCTAGCGTTAATAAAACCCACAAGTGCTATGTGTCTTGCATTCTCTGGTACTATGGATTTATAGATTCTTTGGGAAATGTTCGCCTGGATTAAATACTTCGATCTGGGGATTATAGATGAGTATGCATTTGCACCGACTCTCAACTATTGTAACTACCAGTATAGAAATGAGACCGATTTATGTGAGCGTACTTTTGGTGTGTTTCATTGTTTTAGACTCGAGAAATTAAGGACAATTTAAATCTGATTGTAAAATTTAACAATAATTAAATTTGTATAATCTATAATTAAGGCTTCTTTTGTGTAGCATTACCTCTATGCGTTGCAATATAATCACTTATTGAAATAAATGTAATTTTATTTAATTAGCTTTGCTATAAGCACGCGGGGCCTTTTGATTCCAGCTTCATTACAGAAACTATGCTGGTCCGACAAACTCTTTTCCTCTTTGTTATTATTCTGTGTGCTTCAGTCCAGGTAAATTAATATTAATTTTTCAAACTTCTTCAGTTCTTTACCATATTTTTAGGCAGACTCTGTGATTTATAATCCCTGTGCATCTCAAAAAGAATTACCTGAAGCCGAAAAACTCATTGCTTTGGAAAACTGGCCGGATAACCAAGATATTTCTCTCATTGAGCACAGCTACAAGTGCTCTATGACCTGCGTGCTGATGGATTTGGGATTGATAAATCAAATAGGACGGGTGACGATCGACAATTATGTGAGATCGGGAGCTTTGGACGGGAAATGGGTGATTAGTGACCTGGCCTCATGTCGCAGCAAATATCATGATGAGCAGGATCTGTGTGAATATGCTTTCGGAATATTCAATTGTTTTAGAGAGATGAAACTTGCGGCAGAGAGGAAAGCTTAAGAAATTGAATAGTGTTTAAATGTTTAAATTGAAATTAAAGGTTACATTAATTTGAATTTTCAAAGAATGACTTATTGAATTATTCTTACAGAGTTTTTTTTCAGAGTTCAAATATTTTGAGCTTTTTAATCTATTCGCTGTTTGCTTTGATAAGCCATGTGATGAAACCATCTTCGCTCAGTTTTGTCCGGGGAACCAAACGGGAAACACGTTCCATTTAGCTCCGTGATGGCTCGACTTCCGGTGTGCCTGCTCCTGCTGCTGGCGAGTGCGATTTGTTTTGGTGGCGCCTACGAGGCACCTGAGGCCCGGGTGCGCGTGTTTCATCCCAAGGGATTCGAGGTTTCCATACCGCATGAGGTGGGTATTTCGCTGTTCGCCTTTCACGGCAAGCTGAACGAGGAGCTCGACGGCCTGGAGGCGGGGCAATGGGCACGGGATATACCGAGTGCCAAGCGGGGCCGATGGACCTTCCGGGACCGCGAGACGAAGCTGGAGCTCGGAGATACTTTGTATATCTGGACCTATGTGGTGTATAATGGACTTGGCTATCGCCAGGACGATGGAGCGTATGTGGTGCAGAGTTATGACAATCAATAGACTGAATTTTCTCTATAAAATTATAATTTCATTATTTGCAGAAAGGAATCAATAAAGATCTTAAGCTTTAAGCTTTGTCTTTTCCCTTTGTTTACAGAGATTGGGCTCTCAATTCATAAATGTTTAAAGTCTCATGGCTCCTTATCTGATGATTTTATTGTCATCTTTAATTTACTCTCTAGCAGCCTTTTTAAAAACAGGAATCTCTTTAAATAAAATGTTAATTTTGTTTTTATAGTAACTGGATGAGAAACAAATTGATGGTCAAAATATTTAATTTTGTTGTTCTCAAAATCAGTCATTAATTGGGAATCCTTTCCGTATATTTATGTATATTTTTAATGTGCAACAGCATAATGTAATCGAGTCAATTGATATTTAAATCAAAGGAATGGAAATGCTTTAATGCAAATTCATATTTCATGCACTTGCCGACCCGCTCATCGTCACCATCGTCCTTCGTCCTTCATCCTTTGCCGGATTCCATTGTGGCCGTGACGTATTTAATTATTTTCGCTAGTAAAAACACTTTTATCCAATGCAAATTTATGCACTTTTAAACGCTGTAATTAATCATAAATAAAACGCAAGGCATTAATGGCCAAATGGAGCGCAGGGCCCTGCAATGCGATGGTCTGAAAATTGCGTAAAATAAAGCTCGCTCTCAAACCAACCGATATAATTTGCTTTATGCACTGGCCAGAATGCACGTAGTCGTCCAAAACAGACGAGTTCATAAAAATAGAGTTTGGAGGGTTTTACAGCTCAAAAAATATATCACAAAAAGAAGTCAATAGAACATACAACATGCCCTTTTTTATACAAATTTTAATTTTTATATTAGGTAGTCTACTTTTGCAAATGTAACACAGTGAAAGAGTCATTTCCGACCGTATAAATCATATAAATTCTTGATCTGCATTAAGTAATGGGGTCCATGGCAAAAAGGAAATTAATGAAAAAATAAATTCATAGCTAGCACAACTTATTCTAGATCACTAATATAGCTTATCTTAATGTTTAAAATATAATAATGATATAATTGTCAAAGCAAAGACTTACCCCAGTAGAGGACACGTCATCTTTCGTCATTGCTTAATTCCTTCCGGTGTAGAGTTATATTCCTGGTGAGTTCTTTAAGTATCATCTTACGATAAGCATTCATCGAAGTCTTCTTCTTTCACTATCACTCTAGATGTAATTCCTTCCAGTATCGACTTATAATCGTGTTGACTTCAATTAGAATTATCATGGCATCGAAGATCTCTTCCTGTTTATCTGGATGTGTTCCATGGCCACGTCATATATTTCAGGTCGAAGGGTAATCACTATCACTATCACTATCGATGTTAACACTAGGTACCCCTAGGACAGACTGAGGTCGCGGCGATCGAAGCACCTCTATTTATACTTCCCGATCAATGATAACAGAGAAAGAGAGCGAGAGGGAAAGAGCTACCTCTGTAGCTGCAACAGAGAGAGATAGAGCGTAAGCGCCATCCCTAGAACTGCAACAGAGGGAGGCAACAGAGCTGCAACAGAGGGAGGCAACAGAGCTGCAACAGAGGGAGGCAGACATACCAAATGTTATTGTGAGTAAGAAAGAGAGCGAGAGGCAGAGGAATAACATAAATAAAAATTTCGGTTAATATTAATATCAATATAATAATAATATTAATATTAAATATATATATATAAATATTAATATTAATATTAATATTATTAAATATTATAATATTATATATTTTAATATTAATATTAATATTAATATTATTAAATATTATAATATTATATATTTTAATATTAATATTAATATTTATATTATAAATATAAATATTCTTGAAACCGAAATTTTTATTTATTTTATTATTAATTAATATTAATATTAATAATAATGTTAATAATAATAATAATGTTAATATAATATTATAATATTGTATTGGCAGTGAATAGCTTACTCTCGCCCTCTCTTTCTGTATGCCTCTGTAAGCCTCTGCCACTCGCTCTCTTTCTTACTCACAATAACATTTGGTATGTCTGCCTCCCTCTGTTGCAGCTTTAGAGATGGCGCTTACGCTCTATCTCTCTCTGTTGCAGCTACAGAGGTAGCTCTTTCCCTCTCGCTCTCTTTCTCTGTTATCATTGATCGGGAAGTATAAATAGAGATGCTTCGATCGCCGCGACCTCAGTCTGTCCTAGGGGTACCTAGTGTTAACATCGATAGTGATAGTGATAGTGATTACCCTTCGACCTGAAATATATGACGTGGCCATGGAACACATCCAGATAAACAGGAAGAGATCTTCGATGCCATGATAATTCTAATTGAAGTCACCACGATTATAAGTCGATACTGGAAGGAATTACATCTAAAGTGATAGTGAAAGAAGAACACTTCGATGAGTCCATATCGTAAGATGATACTTAATTAACTCACCAGGAATATAACTCTATAATAACTCTATAATAACTCTATAATTAAGCAATGACGAAAGATGACGTGTCCTCTACTGGGGTAAGTCTTTACTTTGACAATTATATCATTATTATATTTTAAACATTAAGAGAGGCTATATTAGTGATCAGGCCTAGGTCTAGAATAAGTTGTGCTAGCTATGAATTTATTTTTTCATTAATTTCCTTTTTGCCATGGACCCCATTACTTAATGCTGATCAAGAATTTATATGATTTATAGGGTCGGAAATGACTCCATCACTGATACAAATTATATTTTCCTCTGCAATCGATTTTCTCGATCGTTCCTATGGGAGCAATAGGATATAGTAGTCCTATTTTCATGAAATTTTACACAAATTTGTTAAGAAATATAAAACTGTGATCATTTTTAATTGTATTAATTTCTCGCTCGCTCTTATGGGAGCAATAGGATATAGTAATGCTATATCTCAAACACGATAAAAATCTGTTGAAAACTGGAAAGTTATAATTTTTAATTGTATTAATTTCTCGATCGTTCCTATGGGAGCTATATCATATAGTAGTCCGATTTTCATAAGAGAGAGACTAGACATGGACATAGCTAGATCGACTCGGCTGTTGATCCTGATCAAGAATATATATACTTTATATGGTCGAAGGTGCCTCCTTCAGTGCGTTGCAAACTTCTGACTGAAATTGTAATACCCTGCAAGGGTATAAATATTTATAAATATTGAATATTTGCAGCTAAGTTATGATCGATTTCAGATTCTATCTTAAATTGGAATTGCTTAATTTGCTTTTTAACAACTTATCTTTGTACATTTGTAGACTATACTTCTTTAATACTTTAGCTCTAATTGGAGGCCCCAGCAATGGGCCTCACCACTGCAACCTACCTACCTTAATACACACATGGCGTATACTTAATGTAAGGGGTTTCACGTTAAGTATACGCCATGTATGCTAGATCTATCTTAAATCGAAGAATTTTTCATACCCTTTCAGGGTATTATAAATTCAGTCAAAAGCTTGTAACGCACCTATAAATCATATATATTCTTGATCAGCATTTACAGCTGAGTCGGTCCAGCCATGTTTGGTGGAAAAATACATTTTTCAATTTTTTCAAAAAATGATTAAAAATTAAAAATTAAAATTGTTATAAATTGGCAAAATCTTTAATTTTCTGAAATTTAAAATTAAGTATGCAGATTTATTAACCTAATAAAAAAACATAGGATCACTTTCGGAATTAAAATTAATGCTTTTTTGGCGTAGTTATGAGTTTTTACAAAATAGTATTATTCCTTGAAAATGAGCTAGTTGGAAGATACATTTATTAGTTTGTGATCCATTTACGAAATACCTAAATCAAATGTAAAATGTATTAAAATGGCTTAAATATGTTATCATGAAAAGTGACAAAGTGCATACTGTAATTCTAAGAGACTTCAAAAGAAATGGGTCTAAAAAATCATAAAAACTGTTCAGACATTGGTTCACCTTTTATATTATTATTATTATCTTAACCGCTGCTGTAAATACGTTGTACTTGCAGTCAGCTGCACGTACACACACACACACCCTCGGCACACTCGCACACCGCACTCACACACGGCAGGCGAATGGGATGGCAAAAAGTTGCCAAGGATTCACAAGGCAAATTGATGAAGTTTTAGTTGCGGCAACTTCGCTACGTGATGTGTGCGTTACCAGACAGAGACGCACTGCCCAGCGACCACGCCCTCTGCGTGCATACATACATGGCGTGTCCTTCGTTGTCCTGGCCGCTCTTTGTGCCCGTTCGTTAACTTTTTCTTGCTCTGGATCCTGCTCCTGCTGCTGCTCCGGCCTCAGTCTCACCTCCATCTTCCTCCTGCTCCGACCGCTGCTGCGGTGCACTTTTTTGTGAGCAACAACAAAGCTATGGCAAATGAAATTACAACGCAACGAGCGCACATTTTTTGCACTCACTGTGCGCCGAGTTGAGAGTTTGGAGCCACGCTAAATTGGTCTGGCAAATGCTTTTCCACACAGCATCCTGTCCTCCCTTCTCTGCGCCAGGACCCTTATGAGTCTCACAGTCTTCTGGAACATTGCGGAGCAGCCGTTAAACGCTTCATTGGCGCCTTTTCTCTGTCTTTGCAGCGTTCCATTTGCACGTCAGGAAGGTCAGAAATTGCCCAAAAAATCCAGCCGAATGTCGACTAAGTGATAAGGATCGGAAATACTCTTAGTAAGCATATTTACTAATTTATTTCAGGGATCTAGTGATCCTCCAATCTGCTAGATCAACTCCACTTGTGATATTAATCAGAATCATTTAGGTTTTCCTTAGGAACATCATATCCTATTTTTCTTATATACTTTTATAATTGAGGGTAAGAAACTATATATGTATGTTTTTTGCTATGTGACAGAGTATTACTATATTTTCCTGTATACAACATAAATTTAAAAAATCAATCATCAGATGAAAACAATTGCCAAATGACTCCAATGATGAACAATTTTGCATACGTTTTTCAAAACCCTTTTGTCTTGTTTCACTAAAACA